CCATGTACCAACTAATGTTTTCCATTTCGTGAGTATTATATATACGAGTAGATGCTAATTGGGTCAACTCTTGACTTGAATAAGCCTTTTGTAAATACCTAAAGAAATGGATCCTGCACGAGTGTATTATATTCAAACTTTGATAGTGCTGAATGTTTCCTATTGAGTTAATCTCTTCCTTGGAAAAAAGGGCTTAGAAGTATTAAGAGATTCGCATAACACTTTAGAATTCAATTATTAATATTAGCACTACAAATAATAGGTTTATTTTTGAAACACATCAATTGAATATTTTATTTAAGGCACTTGTTTGCCGTATGTTTAAGAAACGGCATAAATATAACATATATAAATATAACAGAAGAACTGAGGTATTGAACAATAGAAGTTTAAAAATCCTTTAAAAAGGCAAATATGTGTATAAATGATTAATGTATTAAGAGTCGTGAATAGAACCGCTAAATAATGGAAATCCTGCTTGAAGTGAAAACTGTCTTGCGTCGACTTATAAATATGAAATACTCTTCTTTTACCCAAACCCACACTATACTTATATTTGTATGTTTTCATAAATTGTCGGCAATATTATCGTACCTGCCGGTGGAGAGTTACAAAGCAGATGGCTTTCCTCTTTTTTTGGCTGCAAGTTGTCAGCAAACGAAGGAAAATCAATGAAAAATCTCAATTTTCGCATATTTCAGAATATTGGAGGAAAGGAACTGCAGTGGGGCAGCGTGAGGATAGCAAAGAAATGACAACAATACAACTGATAATAAAAACAAAAACAGGGCGAACAAGAGAAAATTTCTCAAAAAGGGGAATGGGGCGATGTGGGAATGCAGGGCTGAGTCTGCAAAGTAATTGCAACCCGCGAATGAATGAGAAAATTCAATTATTTTCGGTCATTATTATTTTTTCAACATCTTCGTCACGACCCAGTCCGAGCAGCTCGAGTGCATTCACCAACACACTCCCAGTCCCTCTCCTGCCCTGATTGGTGACTGCCGTCCTCGTCCACGTTCGCGCCCCTTAGCTGTCACATCTCGATTGTCCCCTTCCCGGCTTGTTGCACGCATTTTGATGCATGCAAAAAACTTTTTCACGACCTGCAATCAATGGGACGCGTATTGCCCCGTCCCCTGTCCCTCGTGCCGCTCCTTGCTCGGCGGTCCCTCTTATGCCAGCAGCCCTTCCCTTTACCAACACCATTGCAGTTGTCGCACTTGGCGGCCATTGTCTCGACCAGGCGGCAAAGTGTTGCAAAACGTTTTTGTTGCTCGAACTGGTGCGACGCTGCTTCACCTCTTGGACAACTTTTTGCGTACAAAGGCGACTACGAAAATTAAGTTAACTTGTTGGGCAACGGGAATTGAGTAATTTTGAGCTGGAAAAGTTTCGTTATTTTGGGGCGAGGTCCGAGTCTCTGCTACAATTGTTTTACATGCAAAGTTGTAGATGTTATTGTTGAACTGTTTATTATTTAAGCTGCACTTGCTCTACATCGTTGTAACTGTTTCGCCATGGCAGTCGGAAAGTTGTCTTACTTAAAAGTATAGGAACTGCGAATTGCATGTGAAAAGCGAAAGCAATTTGTCCAAACTACAATTAATTAAGTTAATTAAAATGTTGGACGACTTGGTCTGCTATTGCATTAAACCCAAATATTTTACAATGCAGTCATGTGATTAAAGATATTCGAATATCAATTATGTTCAAATATAATGTTGTAAAGTGTAATGAAATGAAAAGAGTTTATCAACATTGCTTATTAAATGTCCACTGCAATCATAGGTATTTCAAAATCCACCCAGTTATCTAGGAATTAGTTGTCAAATATCAAATTTAAGTATATAGCAGATATTCTGCAGTTTTTATCATTTCGGCTTCGTTCTTCCCAAATTTCAGACACAAAATTCCTCCAAAATTTATTTTATATTTTCCGTACATTTTTAACTTTTTATGAGGTGTTCCTTTTTCCTCGACTATCAATCTAGATGGCAGTTAGCTGTCATCATCAATTTTCCAAAGGATGATTAGCAGATCCTAATTCCCTTCTACGATGGGCTGGATGGTGATACAGTTTGTGGTTCATCCCAAGTTTTGGTTTTGGCTTGTGAACTAGTTTACCAAGCTGGCTGTCCAAGCTGATCAATCTCTGGCTACGTTGTCTCTGCTCAAGATCCTGGCGATTCGTCGTTTATGTCTTTCCTGTTACTTCAAACAATCTTCGGATTTCAATTCTTTGAGTACCTCCAACTGGATGGAGATCTAATCCTTCCATACTTTACACATTTCGCATCAAGACGACGGGCTGGATGGTGCGCCGGCTTGTGTTTTGTCCCAAGCGTTGGTCCAGCTGGGGCAACGAAGTTACTATAAATATGTGGCTCCTGCTGATGCAGCAGCTGCTACTGTTCCTTGCGCAGGCGACATCGGCCGTGTTGCCTGCTTCTGTTCTTCAGGGTCAAGAGTCAATCAGTTTTTGAAACTGGTCGATTAATGGATCATGCGATCGAAATTGTAGATACTTTTGTCTGCGGATGGTCCTTCTGGTGGGTGAGAATGAGAAGTACGTGGACAAGTCAATTCAAACCAAAATAGGCACTCGGACAATGGCAATCAGGGTAATGGCATTGCCGAGTGTCGGAAATTACTTTATCCTGACTGCAAAGCTTCTACTGACAATCCTGGCAGTATTGGACATCTGTACTACCGTCTCATTCGCAGATTGATTTAAAGTTGTCGATTTTTATTTTCAAAATATACGTGTATGTATATATCGATAATTTTCTTTTCTTAATTAATATATGCGATCAACACCAATTATAGATCCTTAAATAGTGTTTTCTGGCACTTGTTTGCTTTTTGGACTCGCCATGCTTTGTATCGCCGCAGATCTGAAGGCCTACTGGCAGCGAAGGCAGACCTAGCTAGCCTGAGTTGGGAAGCTTGCTGAAAATTGTTTTGGTATTGCGACACGATAAGAGTCTAGGCAGATAAGGAATCTATTTTCTTCAGTAAGGTTTACATAAAAACGAAGGTACCCAGAGGTTAAATAAAACACGAAATCGGAATGGTACAATAACGGTACAGTATCTAGTTCTAATCCCCGAGTCATGATAAATTTCCCTGACTTTTAGCCTAAAAGCTGTCTTACTGGCAGAAATTACTGCTTCAATAAGAAAAATATAAGAGGCTTCCAAAACGATATTAAAATAACACTTTCAATGTTCACGTTGTGGGATCTCCTCTCGACATAAACAATTTGAACGTAACAGTCATAACACACCGGGGGAATTCCCTCTTCCCAAAGGCCGCCTTTTAACAAAAATATACTTTGCTGTTCCAAGGATTCCGATGATTCTGATGCAATGATACAAAAGTTGTAAATTCTTGTCATTCATTAAGCGGGTAGACTTTCTGGGAAACCCTTTCATTCTCCATGTGTATAAGAAGGAATGCACACCCAGGACTATTTCTTTATATGTATGCAAATCGCATTAGATCAACCAAGAAGCCTAAAATTATTGCCTTTTTGGAAAATTATTGCCACAAATTATTTTCCCTTCACTGATTCGTCGGGGTATATTCACGCCCACACCAGCCAAAACATATTTCAATTTACCCGAAGCAAATCAAATTAAAAATCGCACCAATGACCAAAAGCTGACCCGCGGGCATACCCCATAGAGGACCAAGGGAGCGGAACAGTCCGACGCCCCACCTGAGTCGGAGTCGGGGTCCGGGTCGGCGCAAATGCTGCCACACGGCTGAGTGCTTGCAAATCAAAATAAAATTAAAATCTCTTTGGGCCGTGGGTGGGGCGGGCCTTATATATATATGTATATGTATATATGTATGTGTGTACATATAGAAATCATTTTTACCCGTCAAATAAATTAGTTTTTTTTTTGTCGAGCAATGTGTTGCAACCACCTTTAAAATGGCGCTGTGCGCATAATTTAGCAGCCACAGACAACCCCGGCGACAACTCACTCGGTTTAATTGATTTTACAGTTAGACTGCCACCCCACCCCCCCACCATGGTGCTCCTTGATGGCATCTGCTGGCAGGACTGGCAAAGATTTTAGAGTTGAGTTTGCAACTGTCGATTGGAAGGCGTGAAGGGAGCCGGCAATTTGTTTTTGTTTGTGTCTGCTGGGATGCCGGCAGCACCACCGCCATCACCACCGTTAACACCACCGTGGAAGAGTTTGCACCAAACACTCATTTGCACTTAATACTTTGGCCATTTTGTTTGCTATCCGGCCGGTCGCCATTGTTGGCTGTCTCGCCGCTCTGTCGCTGTATTGGCAAATAAACTGCTCAAGGATATTTACGAGGGTCTGGGAGACATATGTACATACATAGCAGTGAGGAAGATTTCTTGGGCTTTCGCGATAATTAAAATATGCTTATCGTGTATGATTCGCAACTCTGGCAACGGTGGCGTAATTGCTTGCGTCAGTGCTGGTAAACGTGGCAATTCAAAACGACTTGGAAGAGACGCATCAAAACTAATCCAACTTGCAACACATGACCCACATAAGTTCCACAATTTGTGGGGTAACACTAACTGTATGTGATAGTGGGAGTGGGAGTGTGGCAGCGCCTTGGCAAAACTTTTTAATGAAGTTTCGGCGTTCTTAAAAACAAAACTTTATCGCGCTATCGTTCCTTAACCTTCCCCCAACCACACCCCATGACATGTTGTTGTCTATTTATTTTGATTTTCCTACGCGTCGTTCAGTACTCGTCGTCGTTTGTAAAACTTTGCAACACTGGCAACGGCGTCGACGGTAAGTGGCACATTTGTCGGTGATACGCTTTTAATTAGTGGCTAGGACGCTGGCATAAAAACTTTTTAGCCAGAGCTTAAAAACTAGTAGTACAGTTACTACTGTAGAGTAGTGGGTGGCGAGTGTGAAGCGTGACAGGCGAAGCACAGCATGTGTATTTAGTTGATTTACTCATCATTAACACATTTACTTTCCCCCTAGGTGCCCCCACAGTGGTCGCCCTCAATGCCACGCCCGTCGCCTACCCCGGCTCACCACTGCACTTGAACGTCGAGTTCTGCGCCAATCCCCCGGCACATGCGGCGCGCTGGCTGCACGGCGACCGCGTCTTTACGCCCGGAAACCAATACGGCAGCACAGTGCTCGCCTATTCAGTGAAGGTAAGTTGGCAGCGTTTCCACTGCACGAGTAATTTAAATTTTGGGAGACCAATAAGCCATTAGTTCATAGAAGAAAAGCCAGACACTTTAAATCAACACCTTTGTTGAATGTTGTGTTGAAGTGAAAAATAAAGTTAAATTAAAGGTAGTTGCAAAAAGATTTCCGTAAAAGTAAATTTATATTTTGATTATTTTCCAAAAGGAGCCCATTTCAACCTTCTTGCCACATAACCGAGCACCAAAAATTTCCAAACTTGCAACTCTTTTCAGTTAAGGCTCTGGCCAGAACTTCGATGCGAACGAATATATGCATTTTTGTCTTTACAACTATACTGAATACTAGGCTAGAAATTTGGGTTGATGAAAAATAAATAAAGCAATGAGGCGTTGGTCTTCTTCAGAGAAAACTTAAAGTTGAGAAATAATCAAAATTGTTTAAGGATTTCCCATCAATTTAAAACTACTCGTGTGACTCAAAATGTTTTGCAAATAATCTAATTGTGGGTTACATTTCACAGGATCTGCCTACGCCCTATTGCAAGGAGGCGCGTCTCACGTACGTCAGCATGCACGAACGTGTTCCTCGCACGTTCTACTTCATTGTGTCGTCGCCAGGTGGCGTCGCCGAAGCCGTCTTCAATGTGAACTTCACCAAACGGAATAGGCAAATGTCCAACGCCATCGACGACGACGAGGAAGAGGAGCTCAATCGGCCCGAGCAAATACATTTCCCGGTCTTCAACCATGGAGTTCAAAGCAGTCAGCTCGCTACATCGGCCCTGACAGCCACTCTGATAGGGTTAGGGATAGGCGTAGCATTTGTGCGGCGGCGTTAATTTTAAGGATGTGTGCATGCTTGTTTGTGTGAAGGTTTGTGTGAATTTCTTTTTTGTAATTGGTGCGAATGAGTGGGCATGCCATTAACTACAAGTATATGCTAAATAATACCCACTATGACTAATAATACGTACACATTTATGCGCATATATGTATCTCTACGACTAAATATTACCTACATTCATATACATACATACATATATATACCCACTATACTATATGCTACTACTACCCGCTACTAACTGCAATACAAATCTCTAAAGCTATATGTATGTGTGTTTGTAACCAATTGGCGGAGAACCCCCCCAAAAAATTATACCCCATTACAACTATAACTAATGAACTTTGTAGGCATTTAAGTTGAAAGTCTTAACTTTTAGCTCGAAATCTTAAGGCCTCTCTAAATACTCCTGAGAAATAAGTACATAACTAAACTAAATATGTTCACCTTAGCCATAACTGTGTCAATGTATGTGTACGTGTGTTTGTAGTTGCAGTAGAGCTTAACTTGAATGCCAAAAAACAAAAAAAGGAAGAAAAAACTCAAAATATAAATAAAGGCTTATGTTTATCTATTGTTGTAAAATTGGCCAATGCCGACGTCATTTTCTTGAATGGTAATTTAAGTTCCTTTTTGAGCAAAAATAAAATGAAAAGTAAAAAAGAGAGTGAAGAAAAACGAAAGGCGAAAGAAAAACTAAAAAGTGACTGATTTTTGTTAAACATTTTGAAGCGGTTAATAGTTTAATGTAAATGAATGAGTAAATAAAACTTACCAGGCACGAACAAATTCCTTCCATTTGAATTTTTGCGCGGCTAAAAAGGCAAAGAGCATCAAACTGTAAGATAGTGAAAAAAATAACTGATTTATACTTCAACCAACTTAGTTAATTATATTTAATATTTAAGATTTTTTCAAATCACTTGTTTGACTTGTCGAGGCAAATATTTGTATCAAACTAGCATTTATTTTGCCACAAAAGAAATGCTGATGTTAAGTTATTCAATATGGTCTCAATCATTAGAATTTCATACATATGTAAAGCTTTCAGAAAATGAACTATGCAGCTCATATTGTAAAAGGTTTAAGGATTGATTTGATTTATTTTGTTTCCAAAAACAAATACGCATTATTTCAAAGGACCAAGAGTATTTTTCTCTTCGTTTACTACACATATTTTTATAACAAAATAAGTAATGAGACATTTAACTAAATACAAAGTATATGCATATACGAAATGAAATTAGCTCCAAAACAAAACCCTCCACGAAATTACTGTAAATATATACTATATGTTCGAGTAGGAAATTGCTCAAATAGGCCAAAACAGAAGCGCTAAAAACGAATGAATTATCCAATAACAGGTGTTAAATGTTGTTTGAATTCAACGTAAGCGCAACAAAATTAAAATGAAATTCAGTTTATGACACTAAGCCAAACTACAAGTATAATATACTACTACATGCCTATTGTAAAATATTTCTAAAGAAAACAAAAATGAACTATACAAAAAGAAGAACAAGCCAGCAAATTGTTTTGCCCAAGCCAGCAAAGTTTTGTATAAAGCCGCTGCTTTTGTAATTAATTTCATAAATTACAATAAGCCCATATATACTATATGTTATGCGCAATAAAGAACACTAGCCATTTAAGAGATCAATGTAAAAAATTCAAAGAAGAAATACTTAAAGAATCTAACGCCAAGTTAAGAAATTTAGAAACGTTGAGCATACTCGTATGCAAATGTCAAACGAGTTCCAAGAATTCGGCAACAAATACAAAAGAAAGCATTTTACTGTAACTGTGTAATAATTTACGAATTAAATATGCCTATTTACTCGTAATATACTATACTACTCGTATATGTACTTTAGGGGGGACCCTCTGGGTCTCCAGCTCCATGTGTAATTTGTAAAGTTGAGTTAAGCGTCTTGGTTTATTTTTTGATTTTCCGTTTCCGTTTCGTACCTTGTGTAAAAACAAAAATGCAAAACACGTCGTCATGTTAACTAAAAACCAATTACTTATTATCAAATGATATGATATATTGTATTATTACAGAGAATGCTGGAGAACATATTGATATTGTATTCACGATTAATTATTATGGTAATATTTAAAAAATATTATTTATTAGATGGAAAACAAAAAAACAAACACCACATAAGGCTTAGACATTAAGTGGCCAATTTGTAAGGCGGACAAAAAATACAAATGCAAAAATTCAATTGAAACGAGAACAGAAACAGAAAGAGCAACAAAAAAGGAAGCAAAATGAAATGATGATGAAAACGGAATGAAGAAGTGGCAAATTAATTTTTAAAATACAAATAAAACAATTGCAGTTCATTTGTAGTGCAAAGCAAATAAAAAATGTGTTGGCAAATATATATATATATATATTATATATGATTACGAGTACATAAATGAAGCGAGTACGCGATTCAAGCAAGTGTTTTAGTCGTAGGCCCAAAAACAGATAGAAATGGAAGCAACAACCACCAAGGAGTTTTAAGCAGTACTTAAAGTAAGCAAAGAATAACTTGTAAAAACAAGTTGAGAGGTTTAGGCAGCTCAGACTAGAGCAGAAGTGGTCGAGTAAGAAATACACTGAACTAAATCAAAATGCAACAAAGAACAAACAACAAACAATAGACAGGCAGCCTAGGGCCGAAAACCAGCAGCCGGCTCCCCAATAAAAGCAACACACAAAACAAAAAGATTACAACTTTAAGTGACAAAGCAACAAACAAACAAAAATAGCCAATTTAGCATAAAGTAAAGCGATACAAACAAAAAAACAAAAACAAATGAGCAATGAACATGAAATAAAAATTGAAAAAAAGAAAATTCAAAAGAATGCGCAAGCCTTTAAACTTCCTTCAATTGTGGACTGGGTGGGGCAGTTCAATCAGCGCGGGCTCACACCAAATGGACAAACAGATGGACAGAGAGACAGACAGACAGATAGACAGACAGACAGAGGCGGACATCACATCATTAAGCGCAGTTATAACAAACGAACCGCAAACGGGACACATGGTAATGAAGCTGCACGCAAAATTGCAGTGATTCGAGGCGCCAGCCGCAGCAGATCCCCCACAAGGCCGAGTTTGGTGGACACGTAAGTGACAGAGCAACAACAACAACAACAACGTTGAAAGGGAAAGGCCTGATGCTAGCCAATAGTCACCATGAGGAGGCAGAGAGAGAGAGAGGGACTGGTTACCCGCTTTGGGCAACCACAGGCAGTTAGGCTCGTACGCTTGTTGCTGCTGTTGCAAAGATTCCGGTTTGCATTTCGTACATTGGCCCAATGCGTTGTCAACATTGGAGACGCCGACGACGACGACGACGACGACGATGGAGCTGTGGTCATGTTTATTAGTTTGCAACCGACTTGAAATCAAAAGTACAACGACACCGCCACCCCAGGCCGGCAGCGGCGACGGCGGCGGCACAGCTTTGGGCCAATATAGGCAATGGCTTTGCTGTGGCAGCAATGGCCATGGCAGCGAAATGGGCTCTGCTGCTCTTGCTACAGTTTTTGGCCTAAAGAGTTTTAAGCTCGCATACCTGTTTACTGACAACATCAACGATAACAACACGGACCGGCCAACCTGCCATTCGGCCAACCAGCCAGTGAGCCAGCGAGCCGGTTGTGGCACTTTGGAGCACTAATGACGACGAAATGGCCAAGAGATTGCGATTACACGACTAATACAGATGGGTGATTGGAAACGGGGGCGTAGGCTGCAGCGGCACCAGCAGTTTGGAGCACTACATTTTCCGCTATGCCACATGAAATATACGTTATTTTTAAAAACGAAATTCTTCGATAAATAGCGAATCTATACAAATGCCATTTATTTAATAGAGTACCCCCAAATGAGGTTAACTGGGTTACCTAAGTCAGCTATAAGTTCGAACCCTTCAGTTCCAACAAACTAATTGCAAATTAAAATGTAAAAATGAAATAGTTTTCAAATCTATAGTTTTCAGACTTCATGTTACGCGGTAGAGATAGCTTTTTCGATGGCAAACGTAAGCGTAATATCACGTTGCACTTCAAATGAAGGGTATGTATGAAAAACACTTGATGCTTGGTCTGGGTCCAACGACCAATTGAAATTCCTTTGCAGCCAACTGGAGTGGAATAAACTTGCAAAGCTCGCGAATAAGCGAACCAGCCGCGTTGTGGAGTCCGGCAAGGCGTCGATACAAATCTCTTTGGGGACTCCACAGCCACATCCACAGAGTCGCGTCGCGTCGCGTTAATGTCGACGCACGCGCCAAAGCGAAAGGTGCACTTGGTGGCATAAATGGAGGCAGTGGCAGTGGCAGCAGACTCCGAAACTGCGACTTTGGCAGCGACTGCCTCAACAAATATCCGCAATTTCCAATTGGCATTTCAGAGGTGCATTTCTTTTTAATTGTTGCTGCCAAACTAGCCGCAAGTTGCCAGCATGCTATTTTTTTTGATGATGGTAGTTGTTGCCACATACACGGCCAGCGCTTGAGGAACCGACCGAGCAAACGAAATGCAAAATTATAAACTAAAAGCATGGCCATAAAATTGTACACTTTATGTGGCCACCACAAATGGCGACTGGCGGCGAGTGCAGCCGAATACTTGCATTGGGTGCATTTGTTTATGGGCAGAGTAAGCTCTTTTGGGCGGAGCTGTGACGTGGGCCTTGGCCATAACAATGCAAATAAACTCATCTCGATTGGTCAGATTGCAGCAGCAAGACTAACGAAATCGTATTAAGAGGGAAGTGAGAGGTGAGTGAATGGATTTAATCCATTAATACGCCTTTAGGTTAATGCCTACCGGATTTTGTTCACGCACTCACAGAAATGTTTTGATTATCTATCTTGGCTTTCTAAATTGTTTTGTAATAAATACATAATTCAAGTCCAATATTCAATTAATGTGTATAATCACACCACTTGGCATATTATATTGCACACACAAATTCGATTAAAGAATGATTTGCTTAGTAAACTCTCTAAAAAAAGAACGGTTGATAAAAATAAAATAAAAATTTATTGCAAATTTTAACATTGTATTTATAAAGAATCTATTTGAACAATTATGTCATCAAAACATCAAACATGAGAGATGTTTGTAAATTACTATTTATGTATTTATTTAATATAGCTGTTGAAATAGGTATCAGGAAAAACTAATCACATAATTTATTTCCCATACATTTATGTACTTTTGTAAGGGGGTGTCTGGAGATCCCAATACAATTTATATGTACTTATAATAAACAGAATCTATTCTTTTCTTTACACTCTTTAAATAACTTTACTCATCACACGCCTGGTTTCATTTTCAATCTACTATAAATAATGTTTGAAATGTGGGTCACATATTTGCCAATCTCCTCGTTGGCATTCTTAGCTCTTTGCGGATGATTCCATAATATTATTAATGATTTTCAAACGCCGCATGCCATTTTCCGGAGTTTGATTCCGTACTTCAAACTAACTTGCAGCAAAAACTTTTAATTGTTTAACAAAATTTAAATCGTTCTTAATTAGGGATTATCTATCATTTATTAATTCTGATTGGGCTTCGTATTAAAGTTTTTCAACAATTCTAATTTGTGTGTGTAGGTTTTAGAGGAACTGTCGTTATAATCGAATTACAAAGCCTTGTACAAGTAACGCATTATTTTCCCTTGAAAGGTAGAAATAAAAATTTGCATTTACATAACAGCTGCTTGTATCTTTAAAATATCATTCAATTATTTGCATAAGTGTGTGTACAAGCACGTAAGATTCAATACAAGTATATGAATAACGTCGTGCCAACTTATGTGCATAATGTTGTTAACTTGGCTTTAACAGTCACTTTAAATTAATGAGCACGGACTTCGTTGCTCAAAATGAGCGTGAAATGCTGACAATTAATTCAATGCAGACATGGCGCTCCATGAAGAACG